TACGAATTATAATTCTTTTAATTCGGACATTTTAACAGAATATGTTTATGAGTACATTCAAAAATAAAAATATTCTTGAATCATAAATAATAAAAATATTCTTGAACCTATTTCTTGATCATGAATTTAAAAACTTCTTATAGATTAACAAATTCTTGAAGAATAAAAAGAAAAAATACATTATTTCTTATAAAATACAGGTAACAAATGTTAAAAATTACATTTATTGTTAAAGAATAATAATAAAAAAAACTTTCAAAACGGGAAAGAAAACATCAAAATCTAACAACAACTAATACATTCTAAAAGAATAATGTGGTTCGTTTCGATTTTGTGGTCCGTTCTTTAAGTATCAACTTCAGTGATTCCAACATAATTGAAATTCGTGATTCCATTCCAATAGAATTGGAATCTCACCAATACCATTCTGTGATTCCATTTCATTATGGTTTTTAGGACATTACTGCACTCAAACCCAAAGGAAAAAGTGTTTCTTTTTCAAAATAGATGTTGTCACATAGATTATAGTCAAGAAATACAAGAACAATCTTGTTCTTACCCTTATGTACCCAGCAAACCAATAAAAAAAAACAGAGGGCAGCTTCCCATTCATGTTCTTCCTTCTCCCATTCCTGTGAAAACAACAAAGCAGATCAACTCTACAAACACCCATCGATTTTCTGTCAAAAGCAACCCAAAATATCTAATTTTGTACAATTGAAATGGTTGTGACATCCCCAAAATCACGTCCAGAAAAGACCGGTTTAATTTATGCTTTTAAAATGATTTCAGAGTAATCCTTTGATTAAAAGAGTTGCGAAATTTGTTCCCAAAACGAAATATGATAAACATAAGATTTACCAAAGCATTTCTTAAAGAAATGTATTTTTCAATATGTTACAATACTTGGGATGTCATGTTCCGATAAACAAACCAAAAGCATAAACATTTCAATACAGACCTTACAACAGTTATTTACAACAAGAGGCCTATAATCCAAAATATCCTGACAAATCATCCAACTTATGCTCTGGCGCCACTACCTGTAATACAAAGAAACTGAGTGAGTCAGGCTTGGGAGCCTGGTGAACATATAGGGTTTTCAACCCACAATAAATAATTATATTTAATTCCACCAACCAACAATAACCCAATTACCCATTCCCGTTATTCTCACTTTACGTCCCTAAAACAACTAGCACAAGGGACCTAGTCTTAGAATATTTCATCAGGGCGACAACACATGCATTCGGGGGTTTCCCAGCAATATATGTCAAATAAGGCAACCATAAAGGGGATGGAGTACAGCGAATGAACACCCAAGTTCATTAACACCTACAGGTGGCGAACCTGCTAGCGTTCCACAGGACTGTCTAGAAAAGTCTGTGGTCGTCATCTAAACTCCGCTAGATGACTGAATCAAAAACAACATCGAGGCTTCTCATCTGTTTATCACACAACTATCTACCCATGTTCTACCCGACTTATTAGTAGATAAAAATATATATTTTTATACATAGTTTAAAACCTGTATAGCATTCTCATTCAATATATATTCCAAACAACAGATGAGACACACACACATAATACGTATTTCATAGAGAATAAATCATATCTATGAGATAGAAGAAAGTGAATATACATTCACACATATAACAACAAAATATACACATAACACGTATTTCATATAAAATACTTCATAATTATGTGTTAGAAGAAAGTAACTACACACTCACTTGATCAGAAGATGATCAGACAACACTACGGCTTGTAGAAGTAGTATTCTTTGGTAGATCTGGAAGATCTTCACAAAAAAACGGACTCCTCGCGGGTAGAGCTTCGGATCGGGAATTGCACTTCTTGGGATTTTCGGGGCTTTGGAACTTGCTTCGGGAATGATACCGGGGCTTCGGGATAATTCTTGCACGAAAAACGAGGTAAAATGGGATAGAGAGAAGAGAAATTGAGCAAAAGAATCGGCTGCACTCGACTCCCTTTTATAGGGTCTAGATCCTAGATTTACGCTGGGCGTAAATCTAGGTATGCCGGGCGTAACCTGGATAGGATCGCTGACTCCCCCCTTTGGATAATATCGAATATTTTTTTATTTAAATTAAATAACGAAATTATTAAATAAACTTCAAAAATTCATATCTTCCTCATACTAGCTCCGTTTTCGACGTTCTTTATATCCCCGCGTAGGTGAGACTACGCTTTACAACTTTCATTTAGAATCCGTCGGCTAATTTTGAATTTCTTTTTATTATTTATTTTTAGTAGGCCGGTACAGGAAAACTCTGTTAAAAATTCATAACTTCTTCATCCGACATCCGTTTTCGCCTATCTTTTTTATCGTTTCACTACTATCGATGAGATATTCAATTCTCATTTAAATTGTTTCGCCTAAAAATCGCTCAGTCTCAAATCGAGTATTCGGGCTGCATACTGCTAAGTCGAAACTTCGAAAAATCATAACTTCCTCATACGAAGTTAGATTTGGGCGTTCTTTTTATGCACACTCTCGGTTTAACGAACTCTACAACTTTCGTTTAGATCACTAAGGCTAAATATTGCTCTAATGTAAATTTCACTTTTTACGTCATTCAGCGTTGTCAGTTCTGTCGCGAAACTTCGACAGGTCATAACTTCTTAGTTATAACTCGGATTTTGACATTCTTTATATCTTTAGAATCCTTGATTCAACCACTACACATTTATGCAAAAATATCTTGCTTATCTCACACTTCAATTTTGACGCTTATTTTATTCTTAATTCATTAAATTATAATAATTAAGAAAATAAACACATAATTCACATAATACTCAAATATTTTATCATTAATACTTCAAAAAGAGTTACAAGGGTTAACCTAGACTATTACATCAATGATAATGCCTAGCCTGAAAACGCGGGCGTTACAATGGTGTTCCCTTTACCCTTTCTGAATTGAACTAAAGTGCACTCCTTTCTTCACTACTAGCCTCGGACCACCCAAACACCAGTTGTTCCTTCTTGTTCTTCCTTCTTCCTTCGTTCCTGTCAAACAATCAAACCCATAATCTGATAAAAATTAATAACTTATCACGAATGCTTGATTCATAATTGTATAAAAAGATCATAGTTCACAATTGTATAAAGAGATTATAGAGAAACCTGATCAAATATCTATCGTTTGCTGAATTCCTTCAAATGTCTCCTTCCTCTGTCTCTCGTTTCTCACCTGCTCACCGCGAAACACAGGAGCAACCGAAGTCGTTGTCTCCCCCAACACCACCTTGCACGGTTACCACCCTACCACCATTCTACCCCTTTCGCTCTTTTTTTTTTTCTGATGATCAATAAGTGAAATCGATCTTTGATGAATCGATTTAGGGCTTGATTGATTGCAATCTATAAGCCTGATGATGAACAGATAAACAACGGTGTATTTCGATTTGGATGGTCAAACCATAGAAAGTCAAAATTGGGCCTGCAATCTTAATCATATTTGTGATCGGATGTGTAATGCGATCGACTGAAATCGAGATTGGATAGTTTCATATAAGCAGATGTTCTTGCAAGTCAATCTAAAAAGTCAAAATTGGGGCAAACAGGCTCTCTGCGTTCGTAATTGAAATTGTAATCGGAAGTAGCATGTGAACGAACGAAATCGGGGTGGTTGTGTGCTTATTCGCAATTGCTATTCAACAGAAAAAGTCAAAATTGATATTGTGAATCTTTTGGAACGAACGACCAACTTGCGAACTCTTTGGTGCGAGCGGACTCACTGGGATCGAATGAAATCGAAGTCGGAACCAATGAAATTAGGATTTTGAATAATGGTGTTTACTCGTTTGCAATTGAATGTCGATGTTCAAAGTCAAAATTGTGACTTTGCAAATCGATTCACCATTTTCGGTGGTGGGTATGAGATTTAAAGACAGACCCTACTCCTTTTCGCTGTGCTCTGATAACACGACCCATTTCTAAATTAAAGGGATATTAACTGATATTCCTAAATTAAAGAGATATTAATTGATTTATATATTTATCATAATTAATTAAATGTAAGATTACATATTTACCTTTTTGAAATGATTGACTTACATTGATGCATATAATAACACAATAATTAGTATAAACATCTGAACTTATATATATATATATATATATATATATATATATATATATATATATATATATATAAGGTTAAGTTCAAATGAGAATACTATTTAATGTGAGTACGTGAGAACACTAATTTATGTTACTAATCTATATGAATTTTGTATATACAACGATATGACATTATTCATCAACAAATATACGAACAATCACACATTAATATTCACATTAAAATTTTGTATGTACAACTTTATAACATTATTCATCACTGAATATATGAATAATCATATATTTAACATTCACATTAAAATTTACTAAATTACTATATATATATATATATACATATATATATATATATATATATATATATATATATATATATATATATTATAGTAAAATACTAATATAAAATTGAATATATTCATATTATAATTACTACAATATTATACATATTAAATTGATAGTAGAATAGTAACATAAAATAATGTTTTTACGTTCTTACATTAAATAGTGTTCTCACTTCAACTTAACCCTATATATATATATATATATATATATATATATATATATATATATATATAGAGAGAGAGAGAGAGAGAGAGAGAGAGAGAGCTAGGTTCAAATGTTTTTAGCAAGTATTGTGTGCTTAAATGCACCAATGAGAATTCAAAAAATAATTAAATCACTAATAAATAATAAAAGGGTATAAGAGTAATCTACACTATAATTAATTATGGTAAAAGAAAACAAAATCAATCAATATCCCACTAATTTAGGTTATCAGTTTCATATAACACCACCACTGATTCCCCCTACTTCTCTAAAAATCATCGTTCTAAACACAACTCCAAACTCCATGATTTCCAGTCAAGCATCCACACGCAACATGATCTGAAACATGCTTCTATTCGTGAAATATAAGCCTGTCGGAATACAAGCCTTGAACTCGTCACCGTGCTCTGGTGATAAAAGAAACACCACGAGCCTCAAGAGGCCACTGGTGGCCTTGCCGGTCGAAACACGAGTGTGAAGGGGGTAGCAATTCACGTCTTTAACAGCAGCTTCGCAACACCGGTGGTGGAGGCAAAAGGCTGGCAGCGGTGGAGGAAGTAAGAGGGGTGAAGATGGCGGCTGGGTAAACTCCGAATGGATGGTGGTGGCTAGAGAGAAGACGGGTTAGGGTTAGGGTATGGGAGCTCAGCGCCAACAAGAGATCCACAAACAAAGAAGAAATACTCTCCGGATCAGTACCATACTTTTGATACAGGGGAATTCAAGATGATGTCCGGAAATTACACAAGCATTGATAACCAGAATGTTTCTGGATCTGTTCCTGTAAAACTTCTTCTCCTCTTCTTCAAGTGCGTTTTCATCACTTCGATACTAGACCTGGACCCTAATTTATTCGTTGGTAGCTGGATTATATTGTAAGCATTAAGTAATTTGGTTGTTGGTTGTTGCAAATTCAACTCTCCAAACCTTTCCCCCATCTGGAACACAAGGCAAGATCTCAGGCGCTTCTGGACCTCCCTGCGATGCCGATGGTGTGTGTTTAAATTCTTGAAGCATCTTATTAGTTTTCAACTATCTACTGCAATTTAGTAACTTCAGTTAATGGATCTCATTTAGTTCAGCTACATAGTTAAATCCATATAAACTTCATCAGTTTTAGGGCTTAGATTACTAGCATTTTAAGTTTCTTCTGGATTTGAATGCATCATGACTTAGTTAACCTATCTAAAACCTCAACCAATTGGAAAACAAGACTCATGGTATTTTAATCCTCCAAGCAAACTACCAACTAATGAACAACTATCAGTTAGACTTATTAGAGACGTAATCTTTGTTATATTTTCTCTTCAGATACATTCTCAAAGGCAGTATCTGGTTCATCAGAAGCACAAAAGAGTAGTGGTTGGTTCAAGGTATTCACAGTTGCTGCTTACCAGCCTTACTTTGATGTTGACACATCCGATGTTTTAGAAAGAATCAAAGATTCCCTCTTGCCCTTTGGAGGAAGCTTCAATGAAAAACCCGCTAGCAACCCAGACTTGTAAGCTTAAAACGAGAGGGAAGATCATCGGGTTCAAGTCCCGTGCTCCTATCTACCCTGGCTTTGGAATTCTTCTTCAAATTAAATCCGGTAATTATCATTCTCTATTATATCGTTTCCGATAGAATATGTTACAAATTCTTTAAGAATATTCAAAACCATTCTACAAGAATAGTTTATTCTGTAAGAATATTTATTGCTGTATTCTATTATAATGCATTGAATTGTTTAATTTTTGAAAATTGATTATCTTTTCTTTTTGGATTTAGGTTTTCAAGAGGCTAACATTGATGTAGAAAAGGAAGAAAACATATAGAACGAGAGTATATTATATGAGAATGTGTTATGCTACAATGTATAAAGTGTTGCTTAAAAATAATATTCTTTCAGAATAGATTAGTGTTTTTGTTAGATTTTGATGTTCTTTTTTTATTTTTTTTTTCTCTCAGAATGTTGTTATTATACAATGAATCACAATCATACAATGTAATTATTGTTATATTATTAGTTCAAGAATTGATTTGTGTATTTTTTTTTTCAGAATTTATTTACTAGTTTATGGTTGACATTCTGCCATTCTGACGGAATAAAATCGAAAAATATATTTACTAGTTTATGGTTCGCATTCTATCATTCTGATAGAATAAAATCGGATTTTTTAATTTGAATTAATTTAAAATATTCAAAATTTTAAAAAATAAAGGAATTAATCATCCCTAAAAATCCGAAAATTTCCTTTTTTAATATAGGTTAATTGATTAAAATGCCCTTATGTTGAAATTTGTGTGATTATATCGTACATGCTATCATATTCTACTATCATAGACCCTCAGATCATGACCTTTGATTATATTCCATCCGATGGTCTAGATCTGTGCATTTTGGCACACACTAGTTAGTAAAAATAAAATAACCTAACCCTATATATATATATATATATATATATATATATATATATATATATATATATATATATATATATATATATATATATATATATAATAGGTTCAGGTTCATTTGAGACCATTCTAATTTTGTGAGACCGTGAGACCAAATCTAAAAATAATTTTAAAATGCAAAATAAATGGAAAAATCCAAAAATTCTTTTTTAAATATTATTTTCGGAACTTGAATTAACTAAAAAAAATATAAAAAAAATAAAAAAATTCCGTTTTTTTTTTGAAAAATACGTGAAATATTCTAAATAGAATATTACACTAACATATTCTAAAAAATAATTTTAAAATGCAAAATAAATGGAAAAATCTAAAAATTCTTTTTTTAAATATTATTTAAATACAATAAAAAAAATTCTATTTTTTTTTGAAAAATACGTGAAATATTTTAAATAGAATATTACACTGTACATATTCTAAAAATAATTTTAAAATGCAAAATAAATGAAAAAATCAAAATTTTTTTTTTAAATATTATTTTCGAAACATGAATTAACTAAAAAAAAAATAAAAAAATGCGTCTCACGGTCTCACAAAATATAAATGATCTCAAACGAACATAACCCTATATATATATATATATATATATATATATATATATATATATATATATATATATATATATATATATATATATATAATATATATATTATATATATATATATATATAGTATGAAGAAGCAGTCCAATATCTAGATTATCATCAAAAATATATAAAACCGCAGTCAATCGCAGTAGGCATGCTGCACCAACCTAATTTATTTGATTTGTTCAACGAAGATAATAAGTTGGATTAAATTGACTTGAGAAAAGTCTTCAAGTAGACAGGAAACTTCCAAACTACAATTAATATATAAATTTTCATAATCTTATATATCGCAAACTTCTTCCCGGAGATATTTTCTGTTTTCTGTATTTGCGAATAACGGAGAAGATGGAGAAGCTTCTTTATGAAGCATCGTTAGACGGAAACTCAACGGCCTTGCTTATATTACTTCAAGAAGATCCACTGATTCTTGATCGAGTTACACTACACAATAATGACGACATGCCTCTACACGTTGCCTCGATGCTTGGACATATAGAATTTGTTAAGGAGATCGTAATCCGGAAGCCTCATCTTGCTATGGAGCCTGATTCACAGAGACGCTTGCCTCTTCACATAGCATCAGCGAAAGGCCATGTAGAAGTAGTTAAAGCTCTGGTATCAGCTAGCCCTGAGACATGCCTTGCACGTGATCGTGATGGGAGAAACCCTCTCCATCTTGCAGCCATTAAAGGAAGATACGACGTCGTGAAAGAGCTTGTGCAAGCCCAACCCCATGCAGCTAGAGCCATGGTGCAGCAGGAGACCATCTTGCACTTGTGTGTGAAGCGTAACCAACTGGAGGTTTTGAAGTTTTTAGCAGAGAGGTGTGATCATGAGTTTGTAAACTCTAAGGATGCCGATGGCAATAACATTCTACACCTAGCTGTGGCTGATAAACAAATTGAGGTATGCATGCATATTAATTGTGAAAATTTTAATATAAGCGCTATATAATGATTTGTGTTTACAAGATTTTTGTGTTCACTATGACTGATTCATCCTATCTTGAACATTTGTTAGACTATAAACTTGTTGCTACTCGATACAACAATAGAAGTGAATGCAACAAACACTAATGGAGACACACCCATGGATATACTGGCTCAAGGTCCAAGAGATGTGAAAGATAAACAAATAATACAGTCTCTGATGCGAGCAGGAGCTTTTGAGTTGAAAACGGAAGGTTTTCTAGGAGAAGTGCCTCAAAAATTTAGAATCAAAATGGAATTAGACAACTCAAAGTATAATAAGAAACCCAGTTTGCCTTCTCACTTGAAAATTAAAGACTCTAACAATGACGACGACTGGTTGGACAAAAAGCGAAACACTTTGATGGTGGTGGCGTCATTGATAGCAACAATGGCCTTTCAAGCAGGTACTAATCCTCCCAGTGGTGTTTGGCAAGATGGGTCAACGACAGATCCAAACCGAAGGGCTGGATATGCTGTGATGGTGTACAATCATCCGAATTTATACCATGTCTTTCTGGTTTGCAATACGGTGGGATTTGTTTCGACTCTTAGCATTATCTTGTTGCTTATCAGTGGATTGCCTTTTTTGAAGCATCGTGTTTTCTTGTGGATTCTGATGGTTATTATGTGGATCGCTACTTCGTCTATGTCAATCACTTATTGGGTTTCGATATCGGTATTGACACCAAAACCCGAGGCACGGACGTTTAGGAATGTGGTAAATGGTATTGTGTTGGTATGGATCGGGTTGATGTCTCTATTAGTAATGGGACACTCCTTTCAGCTAATGAATTTTTTCTCAAAGCAAACATACCGAAGAAAAAAGGGTCCGATAGTTATAAATAATGCTGAAATTTAACTTGTAATTAAAGTATTTAGCTGTTAAAGTCTCAAATGTGTACATGACATTGCTGAAATTTTTGGCAATGATAAGTTTATACGGAGTAAAAGTCATTGTTTTAGCACTTCAAAGTACATCCATGCTTACAATTTCTTCTATTTTGCCCTCTGCAATTTAAGTTTCAAACATTTTTCCAATTCAACAGTTTTGAGCTGACAAATGATGTCTTTTCTTCTACTCCTTCCAACCATTTAAAAACTTTTCTGCTACCCTTGTATTCTTCGATTTCATATCAATTTCAATTTGATGCATAAAATGAAGAATATATATATATATATATATATATATATATATATATATATATAATATATATATATATATATATATATATATAATATATATATATATATATATATTGTAGATGGTGCTTCAAATCAGAAGTATGATGCTTTAACCAATAGTTGATGTATTTATACAAAAAAAATAAGTAAATAAATAAATAAAGCAATAAGTCGTCCAAGAAATAACAACATACTTTCATGTATATTTTGCTTATAACATCTTACTTTTAAACTTTGTCACACTACGCAATATTACGACAAGAATAATTTCTTTTCTATTAAATATGATTCTATATAAAAAATGAAAGACCAAAGTTATACCAAAGGTTAATAAGAGCTTAAATATTTTTGTAAATATTTACAATAGTTGAAATTTCACAACGAATGATGTTCGGTTTTATACTCTTGATAACACCACCCCCAAAGTAGTAGCAGTTTATTGATAATAAGTTTGCATTTGGGACAGGAGGGGATTGTTAATATTGAAAAACATGTTAAACCAAAAACGACAATTAAATAAGCAATAAAATTCTCTTTATCTCATAAAGGAAATTCAATAAACCACTGATTAAACAAACCTTAAATATTCAATTTGTATACAGAAGAACAGGTTGACTCCCGTCTCCAATGGTTGCATCAAGTCCTATCCAATTCATATTACCAATTACATAAAAAAGTGTATTTAACTATTTATACATGTTTTGATATATATGAAAACTACAATGATGTTACTCTTGATCATTATAAATAAGAACATAACAGCATAAAAGCAAAGTAGAAATCAAAAGTGACGATTACATGATGCTTGTTTAGGCTCTTGACAAAAAAAGAAAAACACAACAAAATGCTTCATGGATCAGGTCATTATGGATTTAAATTTTGAATGTTTCTAAAATAACAAATTACTTTTTATTTACTTATATGATAAATATATAGCAAATGATAAGCATTGGAAGAAGATTTAAGCTATTTCATAGATTAGATTAATGTTAGGTTAGTTTTAACGTCTAGTAAACTTTGAATCTGTATGCGTACCTTAAAACTTCTAAATATTGATTGAATGGCAACTACAGCATCATGTTTGAAGGGAAAAATTGGCCTTTTTTAAGTCGCATAAGCTTTCATTTGAGTTTTCTGAAATGGGTTGTGTGCAGTGTAATCTTCAAGAAAAACCGAACTCGAGAATCTTCATGAAGCTGAATCTTCTTCTGCTAAAACCGAATTGAATTCAACACGAAAAATATACAATCTTCACTGACGACCATCTCTTTCTTTCAACCGAATTGGTTCTCATAAGTCGTTACCTGATGATTCAATGAAAATCACGTAAATTTACGTTTATATGAAGATGTTCTTCAAGAAAGTTAAGATAAATTACATGAAAAATCAAGAATTAGAACTCACACTGGTGTCATGGGTTGTTCCAAAAGATAAAATTTTGGACCAATCAAAAGATATTGTTAAAGCTTTATAGATTTTCTAATGACTTGAACAATGTGGAGGAGCATAGGTTAATCGCTTTACTTGAAACAACGAACCAAGAACAAAGGTAAACCAAATATAGAAATGGGTACATGAAAATTACCAGAACCCTTCTACAGTCAGTCAATGTTCCTAATTAGCAATGAATTTCCACATGGTTTACCTGAAGATTTGTGATGTTCTGGTAAAACTGCAGAGGGAGTGATATTGGCACATGGTATGCATCATCTTTTTTACCTGTATTTATATTCACAACATTATGAATTTAAATCTGAATCTTTTGCAGGTATCAAAAAAATAAATTATAAAAATTACAATCAAAAGATGTGTAAACATATAAAAATACCTAAAGATAATGATTGACAACAATAGGGCGAAGAAGACCACATAGGGAATGAGCATCTCGTTCTTTAAACAAAGAACAAAGCAAATCAACCTATGATTTTGGATAATTTTTGAAAACAAAAAATTAGGTCTTAGCTTTATCGAAGAGAGACGACACTAATTTGAGGAAGTGCTAATCGAGCACACCAAGGGTCACCGTGATGTTCTGGTAACACTGCAGAGGGAGTTGATATTGGCACATGGTATGCATCATCTTTTTTACCTGCATTTATATTCACAACATTATGAATTTAAATCTGAATCTTTTGTAGGTATCATGTAACATCCGAAAAATTCAAGCCAATTTAAAACCTTTTTAAACAATCCAAAAACCATTAGTTCTTACAAAATAGTTGCATATCAGAGTATCCCAGAAACAAAATCATAAAAAGTGAGGAGCTATACGATCACACCTTTGCCTTCCCGTGATCATCAAATGCACCGATCAACAATAATCGATAAATGCAAGCTCGAAGGCTTAGTGAGTTACCCCCAATATACTGATAAACATAAAGTCCTGGGCCCACAGTGTGAGTCTGGCTTGCCTTCCGGGCCCACATCTCACATATGGCTTGCCACTAAGCCCACACAGTACAAGAAAAAGGGGCTTCTGTGACTAAATTATTAGAGGCAGATTAAATCAGTCATAGATACCATGTATATGGGACTGATGAATTAGTCTCAGATACTATCTAAGACTGATTATAATTTTTGAATCATTAGAGACCAGCTAAACTTATTCAGGACTAAAATTTTGTCCTTCGTATGTTTACACCGATTTAGGTGTAGTGGGAAACACACTGGGGATAGAATTTCAGTCTTGTATAATCTAGTACTAACTTTGACTTTGTAGGGAAAGTTACGCAAGACTGAATTTCAGTCCCTAATAAAATTGTGCCAATATTTTATTTATATGGAATTTATTAGGGACTGAATTTCAGTCATTGATACAACTGCACCAATTTATCCTTTGTATGAGAATCTTTTTAAAGACTAGATTTCAGTCCCTAATAGACATGCACTATTTGACATTCGAATGAACACTTATAACTGACTGAATTTTAGTATCTTAGACTAATTATTTAGTCGTAGCTACCATATATCATAGGCTGATGAACCAATTTAAGTTTCTACTTTATGCCATATATCACAGACTAATACGTTTGCGCTAGTGTAGCTTTGGAGGTAAGGACATAAGAGACTGAATTTCAGTTTCAAATACAATACCGCCAATTTTGAATTTAGATGGAAACTTACTAAGGAGTAAATTTTAGTCCCCGATGAACTTGCGCCAATTTTGATTTTTGAGGAACTAGTTAGGGACCGAACTTCAGTCTTTGATAGAATTGCACCAATTTAGTATTTTGAGGGAAATTTTCTAAAAGACTATATTTCAGTCGAAATAAACATACATTATTTTAGATTTGAATTTACACTTAGAAAAGACTAAAATTTTGTATGTAAGACTGATTATTTAGTCATAAATATCATATCAAAGACCGATTAGTTAGTCACAAATACTGTGTGGAATGTAATTTATTAGGGACAATAGTTCACCCTCTGATAAACTAGCCCAATTTTGACTTTTGATTAATAATCACTAGAGACTATGTGTCGGTGTTGATTATTTAATGAATTTTTAGGGAATAAATTTTAGTCTTTGATACATATTATTTAGTCATAAATACAATATATAAAATACAGATGAATCAATCACTTATTCTATTTTAACTGAAACAAGTTACAAGTATAATTTGTAATTATACCCATCATCTAAAAACGTCGTATTATATTTCACCCCTTAACCATTTTCCACCCTTACTCTTTTCTTTCGATTATTCATGTTCGGGGAAATTAGGGTTTGAATTTGAGAGAGAGACGGTGTCAATGCATTCACTTACTAACCTTATCATTTTGTTGTTCAGTTGCGGACGCAGAATGTTTTAGTACGGGTGACACTAAAAAAATTACCAAATAAATGTAAATTAATAGTAGCACTCGTATTTTAAGCCGGTACACCTAATTAAAAAACAAAAAAAAAAACCATAAATTTTTTTTTACACTACGTGTCGGAATCGGAGCAGTGGCCCGGGACCACTCGAGCTCCACTAAGGTCCGCCACTGTCGTTCATCATTTTAATGTTTTATTATGATCTAAATATTTTTATACTACTATAAATTGTAATCTATTTTAATAAAAAAAATTGGATTCTTTCTCTTTCCCGCCTTCACGTCAAATATTTAAAAGCCTGCTTATGTCCCAAATTGTAAAAAGAAGGAAAAAAACCTCCTCACTCACTCACATATGTTCAAATATATAACGAAGTTACTTTTCATAAAAGGGTGGCTTTTGGTCTCCTCCGATCTGTAAGTTACCGAACAAACTCCACCCTTGGTAAAAAAATGAAACGGCCATACCTCTGCCATCTCTGGCAACGTCTCTAGTCAGCGACTCCACTCACAAGTTCGATTCCACTGTCGGCGACTCCACACAGATGTTCGATTCCACTGTCTTGTATAGGTCTAATTTTTGATATTCCTAAAATTTGATATTTATGATATTATTTTTCTGTAATTGCAATGGTTCTCATTTCTGATCTCTAAAAATCTGATCAAGTGAATATCTGATTTCTGAAATTCCAATGGTTATGATATCCGATTTCTGAAATTATGATCAATTGAAAATCTTATATACATAAGTTTACTTTTCTGAAGTTACAGTGGTTCTTATTACTAATTTATGAAAATCTGATTAAGTTAAAATCTTGTAGTTCTAATGTTAGCCTTCAAAGTTACAATGCTTCATATTTCTAAAAATCTCATTAAGGGAAAAACTGAAAAGATGATGTTTTTGATATTAGTGTTTTGAGAATGTTTGATCTGATTGAATTAAGTATGCCATTATGACATTTCT